GTCGTAGCGACCGATTGCCTGCCGCTCTACCTCGCTCAGCGACCAGAGCTCCAGTTGATGCTCCCATTCAGTGCGAGTCGGTCGATCCCGAGTCTCAGAGCAGTTCGCACAGCCTTCCACAAGGTGCACGTAGCAGATTCGCCACTCGCGCTGTGCCAGCTGACACACACGCTCCCGCAACTCGCCAATAGCATGGTTGCTCCTATTGCCCTCGCGGTCTTCGAGCCAGGATGTGAAGGACAGGCCTTCACGTCGCGCGGCGTTCCAACGTCGGATGAAAGAACACCACGAGCGCTGCAGGGCATCGTGTGTGTACGCGAAGTTGGTCGCCTTCCCACGGATCGCGCGGTAGCGAGTGAAGAAGCCCTTCATCCTGTCCAGCGTCTCTGGTTCTTCGGCGCCGTCCAAGCTGTAGAGCTCCCAAGGCTTGAGGTCCTCCTCCATCACGAAGTACGCTGGAGGGTCCGCTGAGTTTGCATTGGAGCTTCTGGTCTGCATCGTCGCTTGTGTTGTGGTCGCGCGACTGGTTCCTGTCACACGCGTCGGAGTGCTTCACGCCGTTGTCTAAATTATTCTGCGTTTGCACTAACGGGACTGTTAGTGCTACTTCGAGAGGGGGGTGATGTAATGGGCCCCATTGCATATATAGGTGATCAGCTATTAGATATCACATATGTAGCAGTAGCAGCACGCGAGTAGCGCGGGCTGCGTGTCATGTCCTGATTGGCAGATAACCGGCCAATCAGACATCGACCTCAGTTGAGTGGTTCACATAAGGGAGCAGGGCTACTGCGCTGGCTCCATAATAAAGCAGAGTTGATTTTCCTCTATTCCGACGACTTAGACTCAATTGGACTGAGTCTCCTCGACGCTTCCTAGCCACCGTGTATGCAAAGATAGCGGATATTCTTAGCCCGTTATAAAGTTGATGTGTTCCGCACTACGCGTACCAAGAATGGGCAGGAAACAAAGAAGCGCCGTCAGCATGGGTGCAAGGTGTGCTCCTTGCTCCGGCCTGGAAAACCCCGTGGGAAACAACATTCTACTGCGTCGAGTGTTCTGCAGAGAGGTCAAGAGAAGGAAGGGGAGGTAATAGTACTGACACCAGAGGGAAGGTATATCTTTGTCAAAAGGTGCGGCAACACGATTCGAACGGGGCGACCAACTCAGCCACTTGTAGCCAGATATGGCACGATCTTTGGCGAGGTGGTGCAAACATTCCTCCAGGGCTCAAGGCAATACGCCTCCGCGCTCCTACTTCTCGACGAGAGGCCAATGAAGGACATTTCGACAAAGGTGATGATTGCGACTACAGCTCAAGGACACCCTCAATTAGTGCAAGGAGTTCAGTTAGTGAGGTTAGTAGTGTGGATATTGACAGTAGTGATGCGGAGAGTATTGAATCAGCCGTTATATAGATAATGTATATCATCTTGATGAGTGAATGTATTTTCTGAAATTGGAAAGGTATTGTCTACATATTCACCTCCTGTCAGGCAAGTACAGCATATCGCGCCGAACCGGGCATCACAACTTAGTCGTCTACCCTGTACTCTACAGAGTAGATAGCACACCAGGATTGTGAGTCAAGTAAAACTCCGCAAATAATAAACCCAAGTCATTTGATTATCCTGTACAATACAGGGTAATTTACGGCCAAAACCGCGGGGCTAAAGGGGTTAAACATATTTGGCCTCAGATAGTTAACAGCTATCGGTCTGTGGTCGCGAGCTCTCGCAGGATTGCTAGCCACGCATTTCTCTTTGTGTGCGTGTATAAGTCTAACCTGCTTGGACTCGCGAGGACTTAACATCTGCCGTGCATCTGGCGAGGGCATTGCCAAAGCAGAAAAGTGACAACTCTGTCGCTTTTAAAGGTTCTTCATACAATCGGTTACGTCACCGAATTGAAACAGTCTAAACTAGACCTGTAAACCCAGATTATTAAATCTCCAAGAGGAAGGAAGTACTTGGAGAAAAAACTATTTTCCTGGGAGGACAGCTGTATAGCTGTATGGACAGCCTCAAAGACATTAATTCGCCCCAAAATGTCGCCTGAGACACAGGTAACATTCGACAAACATTCAAACGACATTCCATTAAGACAGCATTCATACAACTACACCTGCAGGAGGACAACGTAAAATTAAAAGTCGGGTTCGTATTCCTCTTTACGTCTGTCTTCCCGTCGCTGCTAGATTATGACCCTCTTTCGTACTGCAATTACACATGAAAAATCAAGCACCTTTATAGGTGTTTCCTGCTCCAACTAGATTGAAAAGCCGCGACTTGCCAGTTTTCCTCGAGTAAGGTGTCCTAAATACATCACCAACCTTGGCTCAAAGATCGTTTTGCTCACTAGCCATACAACCACAGACTAGAGGCTGTGGGCAGCTTAGTCCGGACGAGATCGCTTCTTTTCAAGTCTGCCTGTGTTCCAGGGCTGCCGATTATGGCATGTTTTGTTAGCAAGAACGACAACACTAGATAAATAATGGTAGGCAGCTAGCAGAATCATCTACATAAATAATGGCATGTAGAAGGTTCAACACATACATAATGACTTATGATGGTGGTTAACTTCGGAGACTATCAAT